GAGGAAGGCTGTGAGGCTCCTCCACTGGCCCCCTCACTCCCCGAACCGGGGGCTCCTCCACCCCTCACGCCGGAGCCCGAGCAGCCCGGGAGTCAGCCCCACAAACATCGCTACTCACCCGTCCGGAGCCAGCAGCCCGGCAGCCATCTTAAGACCACGTCAACATCGCGCCTTCTCATTGGCTCTGACCTCTCAGCCAATGGGCTGCGGCCGTTCTGGCCTGGCGGTCGCCGTGGCAACCGGCCGCGCTCAGCTCCACGGTGAAATCCACTGAATGGAGCGGTGGGTTTCTTTCCACTTTCCTCTCGCCGTTTTCCCTCTTGCTTCTGGTCGTTCTCCAGGCTTTGTCGGTTCGCCATCCCCTGCCGCACGCCGGTGCTGGCTTAGACTTTGACCTGAGTCCATTCCCAAGGGGAGAGAATCGCTGCAGGCGCTCTCTAGGCCCTTCTGGGAACGTTGCTATTAGTTCTCCGTTTTCCTCCCTCTCTTCCTTTTTCCCTCTCTGCAAGAACTTGTTGAGCAGCCTTCCTTTCAGTCTCTGTTTCGGAGAAAGCGGTCCGCCTCCTGCTCTCGTGGAGCTTACCATCTGGTTATCGCCCAGGCTGCTCCCCAGGCAGACTCCGTGGTCTTGGCCCAAAGCTTAGGGGACTTTTCCGTGGCAGCCACTGTTGTAGGCCCCGAGGAGGGGCGTGGGGAGCGTAGGAAATAAGGAAGGAAAACCACCAAGAAAAAGGCGCTACGAAGAAAAGAAAACAGTAATGTGGTCGTGATGGGAGTGGGGCTATTTTAGAAGGGCTGCCGTTCTCGTTCTCTGAAACTGTTCGGTAACAGTGATAAGAAGACCGTGATGGGAGTGGGGCTATTTTAGAAGGGCTGCCGTTTTCTGAAACTGTTCGGTAACAGTGATAAGAAGAAGAAGAATATTCCCTATTTTCTAGTGTTGTAACGTTCATGTAAGAAAATACACATAAAGACCTTAACCTAGTACCTGGCCCACAGTAATTCTGTCTTAGCTATTTGTTACCAATAATGCCCTTCTTTGAAACATGGTAAAAATGTATAAAAATGTTGCTTGGCACTCAATAATATATCACGATTTAGTATAAACAGATCTTTGAAGTTATTACCTAACTATCCAGTGCCTCACCCCCAGTGTCTCCCAGAAGATGTGCCAGGTTTGTGGAGTCACTTTCTATAAGCCCAGAATCAGTGAACCCTGGATTGACAAGCTTGGGCGGCTCAGGTCCGTTTAACATGCTCACAGCCTCTGATTCTAGAATAGAAGCAGAGCTGAGCCATTGGCAGATCTGTATGAAGCTATCCTGGCTAATGGTGTCCGGCTTCTCAATGGGGTTTTCCCGGAATCCAAAACCTTCAAGAGTGAAGCAGCTAAAGAGAGGACATGTGTCAAAGCTCTGATGTAGCTCTGCTCTCGGGCCTCTCAATTGCTGTATTAGTCAGCGGGGCCACAGCCTGGGCGACTTACGCAGCAGAAATAAAGGGCGACTCTATTTCTCACAGTTCTGATGGTTGGGAAGTCCAAGATGAAGATGCCTGCAAAGTGGGTTCCCTTGTGAGTCCTGTCTCCTGGCTTGTGGGGCAGCAGCCATCTTGCTGTGTGCTCACATGATCTCTTCTTTATACATGTTTGGAAAGAGAGAGGAAAAGGGGGGAGATAGGAAGAGAGGGAGAGACAAGGGAAGGGAAGGGAGGGGAGGGAAGAGAGCGGAGAGGGAGAGGAGAGAGAGAAGAGAGGGAGAGGAGGAAAGAGAGGAGAGGGAGAGGAGAGGAGCTCCAGGGCTATCTCCTACCTCCTGTCTCTTATGATGAGGAGACTAATCCTATCAGGGCCCCACTCTCACGGCCTTACATAACCTTAATTCCTTAGAGTCCCCAACCCCAAATACAGCCACACTGGGGGGTTAGGGTTTCAACATATGAATTATATTCTTACACAAACATTCAGTCCATAAAATTGCCAATGGTGGAAGAGTGGCCAGAATGGGGAAAGAGCACAGAGGGGAGAAGACATGGAGTAGGAAAAAAGTGATGTTGGCCTGTTTAAGAACCTTCTAGAATGTTTCCACATACATTCCATCAAAGTATAATAGTTTTTTTAGTACATATAAATGTGCAAAATAGAGGGGGAATAGAAGCACTCCAAAAACCTACAAACACCGGATTTCACACCAAAGTCCATTCCTACTCCAAAATAGGTGTTTTAAATTTTTCTCTATTAATTTCAGAATTCTCAAACATCTGATTGTTTACTCCGACATTATTGGATTCCTGTAATAAATGTAAATAGCTCAGACTTTTCTTCTGGCTCAGAACATTATCGTTTTGCCAGTTTTCTGAGGGAACTGTCAGTCATTTGATTTATTTTAATCAATAAATTTACCTTCCCTCTAGCAAATTCCTGTCCTGGAAATCTGCCAAGCCATGCATTTTGTGAATGAAATACTTGTATTTGGTGAGATTTCCATGAAACATAGAATTATTGAATACCTTTTACTAAATCATACTGAATCCGACTCGGCTAGTGAATTTGAACTTGAATTGTGTTGCATCTGGCACTGATTTCAAACATGTAAGTTTCACCTAAATTATCAAACGTATCTTAAAAATCATAAAGCAGTTTTTCTTTGCCAAGAAATATTACAGTTTCTGAATAGTTTGTCCTTATATTTCGTCATTTTTTTCTTAGTGTAGAGATTACAAGTCACACTCATGTTATAAAAGATTAATTGTGGAGGTCTTTTCTGGTGGCTGCTAAATCTCTGATTGATGAAAATTTTCCCAAATATAATGAAATCCCTTAACGATTCCTCAGTTGGAAAAAGTGAATACGACCTTGTTGAATATATAATAAATGTGTTTCTTGCTGAAACTGAGAAAGAGAAGAAATGAATTTCCGTCTGTACAAAATGCCTTATTTTCTGCATTGAAGAAAACGTGGTGTAGTGACTTACACAAAAGAACAGAAACAAGGGAGTTCTGAATTTTAGGAATGGTGTGACAATGTCTCTTCTGGATCTGTTTCTTAAATTTGCAAACCGTAGCATCTATAAACAATGTTAGCCTTAGAGGAATATGTTAAACAACTAGCACTGACATCAAAAAGAGTTCACATTTGAGGAAACAACATTCCTATCATATAGGATGTTGCCAAAGAAAAGCATTTTTTAATTGGTCATGTCCAGTGCTAATATCATAAAAGCTTATGAAGTAATTACTACTGTATCCATTTTACATATAAGGAAATTAAGGCTTCTAGAGTTCAAGGGGGAAACTTGCCTAAGGTCACATAACTAAGTCACAAGCAGAACCGGACTCTCAACCTCATGCTCTTTCCACTGTCACCCACTGCCCTGCTTTTAAGATAAAGTTCCCAGCACAGTACAGTCAATAATGTATGGACATCAAGCTTACCCTGTGGGATGTATACCCAGTGGGAGCTCAGGAAAAGAGCAGCCTTGGGAGCTAAATGCGCCTTCCCTCTCCAACCCCTCAGTACCTGGCGAATGAGCAAATCCTATCAGAGGAACCTCTTCAGTCATTCCTGCTCTGATACATTGAAATCTATGTTGGTCTCCCTTTTCCTGGTCTTCCACAGCAGCCCAGGGCCTGATTCATTTCTCTAAATAAAGGAAGACAGGTAAAGCTTTTAACATAGAGCCTGGCACTTACTAATGGTCAATAAATATTAGTTTCCTTTCCTTATACATAAAAACTAAGGAGTGTGTGTGTGTGTGTGTGTGTGCGCGCGCGCGCGCGTGCATGCATGTTGGGGAAAAGAAATTGAACACGCAGAGCACAGAGGATTTTTTGGGCAGCGAAAATACTCTGCATAGTAACCATAATGATAGATTCACATCAACATACATTTTTTCCAAGCTCAGAGTATACAACACCAAGAGTGAACCCTAAGGTAAACAATGGACTTTGGGTGATTATGATTGTCAATGTGGGTTTATAAATTATAACAAATGTACCACTCTGATGAGAGAGAGCCATAATATGTGGAGATAGTAAATGTATGGAAAATCTCTACCATCTCAATTTTGCTGTGAACCTAAAACTGCTCTAAAAATAAAGTCTTTTTAAAAATCATAAAAACAATAATTCATTACATGTGAAAATTATGTGAAACCCAAAATGTAGTATTCATAAATAAAGTTCTATTGGAGCTTACAGAAAAAAACTGAGGAGTACATAAATGTTGATAGGTTATCAGATTAATATGTCAATAACGTTGTGGTCCTTACCATGTGCCCAGTGCTTAGCACTTGGCTAAGCTTGCAAGAGAATACACATGAAGTTTATGAACTGGCCTACCAAGGAGTTTGTAGTCTGAGATATGTAATGTGGTTATAGATGGTACATCTTACTCCGTAAGTACTAAAATTGTGAGGACCATGATGTAAGTACAACTATAGATCCTAAGAATGGAAAAGGAAGCTAGATGGAATTTAGTACAAGCTATTTCCTTTGCCTGGAATAACTTTCTTTTTTATACCTTTGAACTTCGTTTCATCCTTCAAAACCTAGATCAAATCTTACCTCCTGAGTTAAACCTTTTCTGATTCATGAAATTCTTCTCTATGCCTTCATGACAGTTGATACAGGACCATGGGGCTCTGTTCATTGATTGCAAGTTCTTTCTCTGTTCTTCAGATGATGTCATCTTCAAGTTCTCTGACTCTCTTTTTTGCCATATCCACGCTATTATTGAGGCATGCAGTAAATTTTTTATTTTATGCCATTTTGTTTTCAGTTCTATAATTTCTATTGAGTTCTATTTTATAGTTTATGTCTCTTGCCTGAAGTTTCCTATGTTTTCATTATATTTTCCTTTTAATCCTTAAGCATAACTATTTTTAAATCCTTATCTTTGATTCCAACATTGGGGTAATCTCAGGTTTAGTGTCCACTGATTTTTTTTTGCTCTTGAAAAGATTCATGTTTTCCTGTTTCTTTATATGACAAGAAATTTTGGGTTTCATCCTGGAAATTGTGAATAATATGTTATAGAATTTCAAGATTCTATTATATTTCTCCAAAGAACACTCACTCCATTTTACAGCAGGCAGTTCATTGGCTGAGCCCAAAGTATCAGCTCCGTCTCCCTGTGGGAGGGAGCAGCTCAAATC